GACATTCCTAGAATTGGGTACATATCTTGACTTTAATAATAGTTCTACAAACACTCTATTCTACTCTTCAGCATTCAAAACCAAAGATATACCAGGCACTGGTAGCTCATGCCTGCAATTCTAGCTACTCAGAAGGTTTAAGATCTGAGGATCTTGAGCCAAAGACAGACAAGGCAGTAAAAGTCCATGAAACATATCTCCAACTAACTAGCAAAAAACCCAAAAAACAAAGACGACAAACCATGGGGCTGGAAATATGGCTTAGTGGTAGAGTGCTTGCTAGCAAGCATGAAGCCCTGGGTTCCATTCCTGAGTATCACATAAACAGAAAAAGCTGGAAGTGGGGCTGTGGCTCAGTGGTAAGAATAAAAGAAGCGCAAGGACAGTGTGCAGGCCCAGAGGTCAAGCTCCAGGACTGGCAAACAAACACCAAAACCGAACAGAAAACAGAAGTGTCTAAAACATATCAACACATGATAAATTATACAGGACTCTAGGCATTCACACACAGTAAGACCAAGAGAGGATATCCTTAGGGGAGAAAACCAAAGGCCTAACGCCACTATGCCTCTGTGCTTTTGATCATATAAAATAATACTTACCAAAACGAATTCCAGCTGGGAGCTGGTGGGTCAGACCTGTAATCCTAGCTACTTAGGAGGCTAAGATCAGAGAATCATGGTTTCAAAGCCAGCCCAGGCAGGAAAGTCCATGACATTCTTATCTCCCATTAACCACCAGAAGTGGTGCTATGGCTCAAAGTGGTAGAGCACTAGCTTTGAGAAAAAGAGCTCAGGGAGACTTCTCATGTTCACCATCGAAAAAAAGAAAGAGAGAGAGAGGTGGGGGGGGGGAAGAAAGAAAGAAAGAAAGCCACCAGAAGTGGAACTGTGGCACAAGTGGTAGAACATCAGTCTTTCACAAGAGGGTGAGGCTCTTGAGTTTAAGCCCCAATACTGGCACACATAAAAAAACTCTCAAAGGGAAGTAGTGCTGTGGCTCAAGTGGTAGAGCGCTAGCCTTGAGCTGAAGAGTTGAGGGACAGTGCCCAGGCCCAGAGTTCAGGCCCCACAACTGACCAAAATAATAATAATAATAATAGTCTGCTTTCTAACCTTGGTAAACAATTGTGCTTAGAGTGTGAGCCTAACTCCTTTACCAGGAGGAGGATTAAATCCTAGCAAACTGCCTGCCTGATGTGCCTGCTCTGTACCCTTTTGCACAAAAGAAAATTGCCTTGATGAAAACTCCTGTATCTCTTGAATGGTCTGCTCATTTCTGACACCAGAGAGTGGTATATTTCTCTTTCTTCCTTCCTTTCCTTTCCTTTCCTTTTCTTTACCTTCCTTCCTTCCCTTCCTTCCTTCTTCCTTCCTTCCTTCTTCCTTCCTTCCTTTCTTCTTTCTTTCTTTCTTTCTTCCCTTCCTTCCTTCCCTCCCTCCCTCCCTCCTTCTCTCCCTCCCTCCCTTCCCTCCCTCCCTCCCTTCTTTCTTTCTTCCTTCCTTCCTTCCTTCCTT